AAGAAAAAGTAAGAAGGGATGATATAAACATTAGGAAGGGGCTCACTGAGGTGGCGATGTTTGAGAGGAGATCTCAGGAGGCAATGCTGGAGAGGAAATGAATAAATAAGTTGTGTGATTCAACACAATGTTACTTAATGAGTACCACTACAAAACCTGTGGGTCTTTTCATTGAATACACTGTCTTTTGAGATTCAGAACAGCATTATTTGCATAATGCAAAACTGGAGTAAACTTAGCAAGAATCTTCATCTCAAATTACAAACATGCTCTGAAGTAAATATAAAGTGTCAGTGATATGCATTCACACTGATGAGTTATTTAACAGAATGAAAGTCTTATCTAAAATAAGGTTAAAACTCCCCCACTATTTCCAAAGAAACGTGATCAAGGAAATGTTCTTTATAAACCTCCAAATCCTAAACTTAAGTAAAAAAATAAACCTAAATTTATATGCAATCATACAGAATTAAGTAACTTTTAATTTCTAACTGGTTTTGATCCTTGTCTAGAACTTGAGGCCCAAGAGTATCTACCTCATAAACACATTTTTAGGCAATGAGAGGGCAGAACTGAGGTGAAAGATTAGAAATGGAGATCAGAACTGAAAAGAAATTGAAAAACTAACAACATATTCAAGGATTAAAACCAACCAACCAAACTTACAAAACACTGACCCCAGGGGAAAATATCTTCAATCTGCTATTGTACTGATACTAAAAATAGCATTATTGGGGCTGGAGTTATGGCTCAGTGGTAGACCACCCACCTAGCATGGGCGAGGCCCTGGGTTCAATCCTCAGCACCACATAAAAAATAAATTAATTAAAAAGATATCCAACTACAACTGAAATAAAAATTTTACCCATCTTTCCAACTTCCAAATCATACCCATTCCATAAAAATGAGTGTTCTTCTAAAAAAGCTCACTCTATAAATCTGTTGAAAACCAGATTGGCTATGTACTTTGTTAAGCTATTAATACTTGCTGTGCAGCCTCCAATCTAGCTCCTATTGCAACCTGTTCTCAGATGTTTCCTTTATGAATGTCCACTCCAAAATTCTCACATCAGGCCACAGTGTCTCACATCTTCTGAGTAGGCTCACAGCTTCCTCCTAAATCCCCCATACTGTTTCCCTCCACCAGAGACGTTGACAGTCCCTATGTTCTCTTGCCCTCCTGTTTCAAGGTTATAATTCCTTCCACTTTTCAAGGCCAATCCTGCCTTCAGAACCATCCAGCTATAGCTATGTAATGCTCTAGTCAAACGAACACACTGTTTTTTCTTCAACCATCTCTGTGCTTCACTCTGAAGTCACTGTTCAGGTAATTTCTTAGCCTTATGGAAAAATCTTCTTTTAACTGAAATCTCTGCTCATAAAAATTTTACCCATCTTTCCAGAGGAACCAAATCAAACATTATTTCCATATAGCATTACAGAGTTTTTAAACTCATATAAAGCGATTTCTCTCTCATTTCTATCATCACCTTTTGAACCTCTCTCATTACCAGAAAATGGAGCATCAGAATTGTGTCTTCACATGCCTACTGCTCCTACGAGGCAAAAGGCAGAGGGCAGGGATGGTCATGTCACTTCTCCACACTTCCCTCAGAATTTAGTTTAATGCATATGTAGACAAGAACTACTCAAATTTTTGTTAAATATAAAAACTGGACTAAAGTCATTAAACTGGATTAAAGAAAACAATATCAAAACATAAACTACTTCTCTGAATACTACTATTGCTGGGGCTTCTAGTTTAAGGTTGTGAATTAAATACATATACAAAATTGTTTCCTATTGTTTCTGAGACCCTCTAAAAATGACAATGAATACAAATGGTAAGCTGGGTGCACTGGCACATGCCTGTACTTCCAGCTACTTGGGAGGTTAAAAAGCAGGAGAATCACAAGTTCAAGGGCAGTTTAGACAACTCATGGAGACCATGTCTAAAAATAAAAAGAACTGGGAATGTTTATAAGTGGTAGACAAACCCCAGGGCGAATCCCCAATACCTACCAATCTAAATAAGGTAAAAAATAAGTAAGACAAATAGATACATAAACAATATATAAATATAAAAAAAGGGCGGGAATGTAGCTCAGTGGTAGAGCACTCCTGGATTCAATTACCAGTCCAAAAAAAAAAAAAAGATAACATGTATTCATTTAACAAAAAAGAGGAAAAAATCTCAATGGAAGAGA